TTTTTTTTTATTATTTTTATTATTATAATAAATATATCAAGCCAATTTTCCATTGTGTGTATAATTGTCGTTTTTTTTAATGAATGAACAAGAAAAAAGAAAACAAACACGCGGCATTAACGAATTCAGTAATCGTGCAGCATTATTATTTTGATTATTTTGATGTTTTTTAATTAATTGTTAAATTTAAAATTTTCACTAAAATATGATTCACTCATTCACTCATTCATCCACTCATTCATCCATTAATTCTCCTTATTCATCCTATTCACTCATTCATCCGTTCATCCACTACCAATTTTAATTCATTCTGTATCTAACTTAATCAAAGCTAGGCTAGAGATCATCTCAAAATATAAAAAGTTCTATAAAATTTTCTGATTTCTATTTTTATTGGGAAAAAAAGAAGGTTTTATTTTTTGTTTGTAAAAAGTTTTTTTTAATCCCGAGACAATACAATAAACATTCTAAACCAATCAGTCCAAATTAGATTTTGTGTAACTGTAACAAAACCTTTTGTGCTTCAAAAATAAATTATAGCCTCAAATTGGTCAAGTAATAAGAAGATAAATATAATTATAGTAGAAGTTAATAATAACAAATAGAAACCATGTTTTAAATTCATATAATTGATATACATTTTTGGTATTTGCTAAAGAGTTTAATACTATATATAATTAATGTCATACTATACAAAAAGAATATAATTTTTTGTTGTTTTATGCAAATACAATTGAATATTAGTACAAATTTTCTTTCTCGTTATTTTCTTAATAATTTGAAAAATATACACAACTTGAATTGTTTACTACTGCTGCTGCTGACCGATCTTTAGTTGTTGTTTGAAACAAATCCCGATATAAACGGATAAATACAAGTTTCGTTGCATCAAAATTTAAAATAGTGAATCCATTCACTAAATCATTGTTATGGGTCTTTTATGATTGGTTAGTTCATTTATTTATTATATAGAGAGAGAGAAAAAAAGAAAAAAAAAAGATTATCAATTAAAATTTTTAAAAAGAGAGATTCTATAAAAGAATAACTATGTGACTATAATGGCTAGATAAACTTGATTGAAAAACAATTTGAAAGTATTATATTAAATAGAGATTTTTCCGCTCTCGAATTATTATTAGTGATTTTTTTCGTATCATAATTAATATTAATTACAATTGTTTATTTGGATACCATTTACCTGATCATGTCTTCTTTCTTTCTCACATTTTTTTTTATCCCTTGTTTTTACCCCCCAAAAAAGAAGCTTAACCCAGTTTACTAATTATTTAATAATAATTAATTATTTACACATTTGTTAAGTTTAAGAACTTTATTTTTTCCAGTTTTTTTTTTTTTTTTTTTTTTTTTTTAGCAATAAATATAAATTTCGATCAAAAATTCTTTTGTAAAACAATAACAACAAATAATACTTGCTCAAAATGAAACCAAGCAATATAAGTAATATGCGCGATAGCGAAGGTAAATGGTAATTGCTAAAAGATGAATGAAAAAATTTGTTTAATCAATAATTGTTTTTTTTTTTATTGTAGAAAGAAAATAAGAAAAATTTGTAATCAATTATGTGTTTTTTTAATGCTATTATTATTTGTTAATGACTCTTAAATGTTTTTTTTTCTTAAATGTTTTTTGATACAACGCATGTAACATTGTAAATAATAGAGCCGCTCAACATTAATTAATTACTTGATTTATGAAGAGAGTTTTATAATGTATAAGTGTTTTGGCCCGATACATA